AACCAAAGAACTTACATGCATATATGCATAACCCATGCACACAGATAATGTGGTGAAGTCCCAGGGACGGGGGTGGGAACGGGCTAGAAAGGGTCAATTGGGAAAAAGGGACATCTGTAATACTTTCAACAATAAAGATAAATTTAAAAACATTTTTTCTGCAGGAACTAGAGTTTGGGAGGTTACAAAACCAAGACAACTAATAATTTGTATTACATTTTTTATTTTACTTATGGCGTGCAATTACAAAGAAAAATATTCATATTTAGTTGTTAACTTTTAGGTTTAGAGCAGCGGTTCTCAACCTGTGGGTCGCGACCCCTTTGGGGGTCGAATGATCCTTTCACAGGGGTCGCCTAAGACCATCGGAAAACACATATATAATTACATACTGTTTTTGTGATTAATCACTATGCTTTAATTATGTTCAATTTGTAACAATGAAATTGGGGGTCACCACAACTGTATTAAAGGGTCACGGCATTAGGAAGGTTGAGAACCACTGGTTTAGATATTTCAAACTTACAATATTTTTTTTTCCTTTTTAGGTAGAAAAAATTGGTTGGGCATCATGGACAAGTGTGCTTGGTTTGTGCTGTGAGGGAATTTGGCCAGTAATTGGAGAAGTCACAGATATAACTGCCTCTTGCCTCACCCATGACAAAATGGTTCTAGCCACTGGGGATGATTTGGGATTTGTGAAGTTATTTAGATATCCTGCTAAAGTATGTGTTTTTCTTTAACTGTCCTAATGATTACAATTATAACATTAATGTAATGTCCTTTCATAGCATGTCATAGTTGTGAAATGCTATTTCATTACAACAGTGAAATAGCAATATTACATAGGTAATATAAGTTGAAATATGAAAGGTTCAGAATTATGTTCCCTATTCTTTTTTTTTTCTTTTGCTGGAGGGAGGGAAGAAGGAAGCAGAAGAAAGAAAGGAAGGAAAGAGGAAAGGAAGGAAGGAGAAAATGGGAGGGAAATATAAGCAGCCAGTTGTAACTACCTTATGTTCCCTGTTCTTAATGTCACATTTATGGCTTTATCTAGAAGTATTATAATTTATGATCCATGTCTTAAGTTATATTATGTTGTACAGTGTTTCTCAACATTGAGTAATGTAAATATTCCTTTTAAAGGAAATATCCCTTTTACCCTAATAATAACGTAAATAATTTAATATTCTTTTGATTAAATATATATCAGCAGTAAATAACAAGTTTATATTTATACCTTTAAAATTTAATGTTTTAATCAATTAAATAAAAATACTATGAATATAATATCTACAAAATTAAAATAAACAACATTGATTTAATACGATGAATGATGTTATTTTGCTAAAACCAAACTGTACAAATTCTTTGGAGTAATGTACTATATGTCTATGCTAGTGTGTGATGACTTAATTCTCTTATTGCTTTCCTCTATTCAAACTACTGGGAAACATTACAAAAGTAAAATTCATGTATCAAGTCTAGATGCATTTATTCTTAATTGCCACAAATTTAGATATATAATTTGGCACCAACATGAGCTTAAACGTATATTTGAAATAGGGCACTGAAACCATATATGATATTTGGTTCATGATGGTCTTAATTGCTCATATTATTTTATTAAAAATATGCTTTTATTGATTTCAGAGAGAGGAAGGGAAAAAGGGATAGAAACATCAATGATGAGAGAAAATCATTGATTGGCTGCCTGCTGATGCCTCCCTTCTGGGGATCGAGACTGCAACCTGGGCATGTGCCCTGACTGGGAATCAAATCTTGACCTCCTGGTTCATAGGCTGATGCTCAACCACTGAGCCACACCACCAGGCCTCATATTATTATTTTTAAATCATTACTGAAGTGGAAACGCAAGTTTAAATATTCTCGTAGACAACTCAGGTGCCCAAGAAAGTAGTGTATCTACTTTATATACACTTAAGTGGTAGGACTTTATAGTTGACCTGAGGCCTGGTGCATGAATTCATGCACCAGTGGGGTCCCTCAGCCTGGCCTGCAGGATTGGGCCAAAACCGGCTCTCCAACATCCCCCAAGGGGTCCCGGATTGCGAGAGGGCACAGGCCAGGCCAAGGGACCCCACCAGTGCACGATCGGGGCCAGGGAGAGATGTGGGAGGTTGGCCAACCGGGGAGGGACCACAGGAGGGCTCCAGGGCATGTCCAGCCTGTCTCACTCAGTCCAGATCAGCTGGACCCCAGCAGCAAGCTAACCTACCGGTCGGAGCATCTGCCCCCTGGTGGTCAGTGCACATCATAGCAAGCGGTTGAGCAGCCTTAGCATATCATTAGCATATTGTGCTTTGATTGGTTGAACGGACAACTGGACATTTAGCATATTAAGCTTTTATTATATAGGATAAGAATGTGTTCCAATAAAACATTATTAGTCAGAAACTTCACTTCGAGCATTTTAAATGGTATAAATGCCCTACGAAGAGGTCCTGGGATATTGCTGTACAGATTCCTTCTTCACCTATTGCAGCAAGAACCACAAAATCTTAGGGAAACTACCTTCTAGCAGTGTTTTGTTGACAGATCCCCCTTTTATTTCAGCTAACTTTCATTCCCAGAAAGTTTACTGGTTTAGCTGGCATTATGTTTTGTATATTTAAAATATTTCTTATATTAAAATCCTTGAAATGATGTCCATCTGAAACCTGCTTATGATACATGACTCTGAAATGTACTTCTGTAACTGGTAATGCTACTGTTCAAGATTTAAAAGTTGCCAGTCTCTAGAACTTGTATTTTTCTTGATATTTAAAAGAAAAAGACATGGTCATGTATGTTGCTTACAGATAATGAATGAATTAAGATAAAAGATATTTACATGGGTTTATACCAACATGATTGATAATTACTTTTGTTAAGATGGCCACCCTGTACATAGATATTTATATTCTGATTTCTAAATCATTGTTTCTATTTTCAACAATATGTCTCATAGACATTGTTTTTAATAGACATGTATTATTCCATAAGTATACAATGTAGTATTACTCTTAGGAACATTTAAGGTATTTAAAGTTTTTCACTGCTAGAAGTAAATGCTGTGGTAAATAATTGTTGCACACGCTGCATTTTTTAGCATAGATCTCTAGAAGGGGGATTGGTAAATGAAAGGTCAGAACGTTTTTATGCTTTTAATGCACAGTACCAAGTTGATTTCTAAAAAAGCTATGCCCACGGTACTAGCAATGTGTGAAACTACTAGTTGTACCCTGCCCTCACCAGCTTGGGAACTGTTATATTTTATTCTAGTGAATTTCAGTATTTTCTAATTTGTATAAGTTGTATTTATAATGACTAATACCTGGTCATACATTAAGAAAAAAATTCAAAATTTTAACTCAAAGATTTCAAGTAATGAAATTTCTCAAAATGACTTTTTGGCTTTTTTTTTTTAATCTTTAGGGAAAATTTGCAAAGTTTAAGAGGTATGTGGCTCATAGTACACAGGTCACAAATGTGCGCTGGACTTGTGATGACAGCATGCTGGTGACCTTAGGAGGCGCGGATATGTCCTTAATGGTTTGGACAAATGAAATGGAGGGCTCTCGAGAAAAAAGGCCTTGTGATAGTGAAGAATCTGATACAGGCTCTGAAGAAGATGGGGGTGTGTTGGTTTACAGTCTTATTTTAACTAGAACATAGTAAAAACAGTACATCTGGTTTAAGCTGCAGAAGCTGAAACAAGTAATACTGATGTTTGAATAATTGTAATTTTAGTCTATTTGGTCTGTTTAATACTAAAATTGGTTCAAGAAGAACAGGCTGTCATGTATTGATGACTTAGATATTCTTTATCTCCAAGTGTAAGATAATCATACTTAAATAAGTACTGTTTAAAAATTTATAGTATCTAACCTCATGTTTTAAAATAATTCCTAATATACCGGTAATACCAGGTCATTATAGAAAAGTTAAAAAATACCTTTTACAGTAAATAATAAGTACAGAATCCATAATTTGACCACTTCTGTTGGTCAAATTCTGTTAATATTTGGCAACTTCTGTTAATATTTTGGGATCTATTAATAAGGCATTTATATACATAGTATGTTTTAAACAAAAATGGTGTCATATTGAACTTATTTTTTGTAGCCTGCTATTATCACTTAGTAATACTTTGAAACATCTTACATATCATTAAATATTCTTCTACATCACTTTTACTGGCTGTATATTATTTTATAATTTGGCTGTAACCAGTAGTTCCCAAACTTATTTGGCCTACCGCCCCCTTTCCAGAAAAAAATATTACTCAGCCCCTGGAAATTAATTTTTTTAAATTTTAATAGCAGTTACTCATCGCCCCCAAATGCACCTGTGGCCATCACCGCCCCCCTGGATCGCTGCAGCGCCTACCAGGGGGCGGTAGCGCCCACTTTGGGAATCACTGTAATACACGTTATTTAACTTATTTCATATCATTGAACAGAATTCTTGTATTCAAATAATAAGATCACATACTTGGTCTCTTCAGTTATCAGTTAATGAATAATTCTTATATTTTATGGTAGGCTACGACAGTGATGTTACAAGGGAGAATGAAATCAGTTACACCATCAGAGCCTTATCAACAAATATTCGTCCAATGTTTGGAATCAAGCCTCATTTGCAACAAAAAGAACCCTCAATTGATGAGAGGTAACAGTCAAGTTTAAATCTAGATGAAGAAAATGATACTGCTATTAATAATTGAATTTATTCTTTAACTGAATGTATTTTTGCAAAAACTAAATAACAGTGGTACTCTTTTATTATACGGTCCCCAGTACCTCTTAGAAAACCATGTTTTTCCTTATATACTTTTTGGTGGTGACACTGTTTAGAAATCGGTTTAAGGAATGATGCTATACATAAAGTCTATATAATTGAAGAATGTTATTTGCTAACTTTTATAAATGTATGTGATGGGGTTAGGGAGATAATAAAAATTGAACCTAGTACTATGTACTTTTTAGGAAGCACATGAGCAGAGATATTAAATTTTGAAAAGGCCCTTTGAGCCATGTGCCTTTAATCAAGGATAGATTTATTTCAGAAATTTTTCTAAAAAGGAAATTAAAGTATAGCTTGTCTCTAATGGGAATTACTGGTCTTTGTCTAGAATCAGCAAATCAAAAATAAGGATATGTACACAATAATTTTATGGGGAAATAACTTTTTTAAAAATATATTTTATTGATTTTTTCAGAGAGGAAGGGAGAGGGATAGAGAGTTAGAACATCAATTAGCTGCCTCCTGCATACCTCCTACTGGGGATGTGCCCGCAACCAAGGTACATGCCCTTGACTGGAATCGAACCTGGGACCTTTCAGTCCTGAGCCAAACCGGTTAGGGCAAGATACACTTTTGATTGTTATATTTCTGAGTCCTCATATGTGCTAGGGTGTAGTGATATTGCATATTAATTATCACCTCTCATCGATGTTTCTAACTCTCTATCCCTCTCCCCTCCTCTCTGCAAAAGATCAATAAAATATATATATTTTTTAAAACTATAAAAAATAAATATTTGTGAAACAAATCTTATGTATTTAAGTAATTTATTATCAATCAAATTTTTAATATTTGTCTTCACTCTGCTTACTAAACTGGTACATTTTATTCATGATCAGTTTTCATATGTCTCCTCCTTTTTTCCTTTTGCTCCTTTTGAAGGCAGGGGATAGTAAGGTAAGTATTTTATTGAAGAAAATACTTCACTCAAAAATTGACTCTTCTGTTTTGGTCTTTATAGTTACTTAAGGTATATTTTTCCCCTATTAAACATTGAACTACATTTGTCAAGAAAGAATCAGAAAATGAAACAGGATAAATCCTACAAAATAGTTGCATTTTATAAATACAATATGTGGGTGTTGTTATGAGAGTCTTGATTATGATCATTGGTTTTAAAATGACTTTTCATAGACTCCTATACTTAAGATAGTTTCAGTTTTTCCTTAAGTTTCAGAGACTGATAAAAACAATCTGTTAAACATACATTTTTATCAGTGGAAAAAGTTTCAGTTTATAAACCTCTAAGGGTCATTTCATGCATGTTTAATGTCTCCATGAATTTTAAAACATTAATATAGGGCAGTAAATGTATTTGTATGTTTGATAAAATTATGTGCAAGGACTCTGGGGTACTTCTGTAGCTATTTGTATGGAGATGAAAATGTCCCTAAACCGTTTCTGAAGCAGAACCATTTGTGGTAAAGGCTCCTTTAGAAGTTTTTGTTTTTTTTTAAAGGTACCATTAGGAAAATGCTGGGAGGTAAGGATGAAAAAAGGATATTTGAAAAGAGATTGTATAGAAATTCAAATATTTGGCGCTCCTTAATTTGCAGACAGCAGGAATTATCTGTTTTTTGCAAGTTTTAACATTTATAACAGAACATGTTGAATTCTCATTTATTTTTCTTCTTCACCTTTCTTATTTCCCTGCCATTAATGGAGTAACTTAAGTCTTTTCTAATATGCAGTAATAAATAAAACAATAGGCCTTTAAAATATACAATATAGCTTATCTGCGTTCAATTTGTAAAAAATACTTTATTACAGGAAGTATTTTACTAGTGTTTTAAATTAAATCTGTGTTGTAATCTTTTCCCCTTTTTATCTGCTGCTAAAAAGAGGTTCCAGGTAATCCTCTTTCTTTGCTATGTCTTATGAGGCCTAATTTTGTATTTTTATCTTCTTTTATGTTTCCCATTAATGAGCTATGTTACTTGGTGTTCTTTACTTCTAATCACAGTTTATGTTTTTCTCCTTTGAAATGAGTATTTCTGAAATGAACAGCATCTTAATTATTGGATTCACATATAAGTAACTACTTCTCTGAAACATTATCCATTTAACTTGTATAATATTGCAAGCTGTGTAATTTTAAGCAATAATGTACGTTATATGAATTATTTTTACATAGATTAAAGTATACTTAACTGTTACATGGGATTGTATAGATAAAAATTACAACTATCAAATGATAACATTAAATCAGGTTCAACAAAAAAGCTTGCCCTAACCGGTTTGGCTCAGTGGATGGAGCGTCGGGCTGTGGACTGAAAGGTCCCAGGTTTGATTCCGGTCAAGGGCATGTACCTTGGTTGCAGGCACATCCCCAGTGGGGGGTGTGCAGGAGGCAGCTGATCGATGTTCCTCTCTCATTGATGTTTCTAACTCTCTATCCCTCTCCCTTCCTCTCTGTAAAAAAATCAATATAATATATTAAAAAAAAGGCTTGGAAGCAACCAAGGCTGCTGTTCTTCTCGGAAATGATCCTAGCACAAATATTTTGAGTTAAACATTGTACATTTCAGTTATATTTATTAATTATATATATCTTTAAAGTATATGAAAAAGGTTTGAAACCAAAATTTTTGTGATAATTTGAAAAGTTCTTTATATAGTCTTGTAAGTGCATTTAATTTCTCTGCCACCAGCCAGTCAAGGTTATGTACTTCTACATAAGCTGCTGAACATGAAAATGCACACTCTTTCATATTACACTAGAGGCCCGATGCAGGAAATTCGTGCAAGGGGCTCGGCCCTCTCTCCCCCCACCCCCACTGCCGCTGCGGCCCCTGCCGACCGCCTCTGCCTCTGCCCCCACCCACCATGGCTTTCCGGTCTAATTAGCATATTATGCTTTAATTATTAGAGATGTTCAAGACATAACACTTCATTTACTTTTTATGGATAAATAACTTGAAAACCATTTTGAAAATACAAATGTTGTTATGCCTTTATTTTTACGGACTTATTCATAAATATTGGAATTTTTCAGAGGAAAGTTAATTTGTATCATTTCCTGATTTTGTTGTTAAAAATTAAATATTAGCCCAGTGGGTGTGGCTCAGTAGTTGAGTGTCAACCCGTGAACCAAGAGGTCACAGGTTCTATTCCCGTCAGGGCACATGCCTGGTTGTGGGCTCAATTCCCAGTAGGGGGCGTGCAAGAGGCAGTGGATTACTGTTTCATTCTCTCTATTCCTGTCCCTTCCTATCTTTAAATCAATAAAAACATTTTTTAAATGAATATTAACTTAAAATTTGGAGAGGGGGTTGATACATGATTAATTTAGATTCAGTGTTCAGGTTATTAAACATTTAAATAATGATTATATCAGTTAAAACTAAATGATGTGGAGTTTTAAAATTTTTATTTTAAAAAGAATTTTAGGAAAGAGCCTCTACATTTAAATGATTCAAAATGGGAACTATATACACCTAATGGGACATTATGAATAGTCCTGAACTGGCAGTGGAAACAGAGAAGAGGGAGCTAGATTTTGGAGAGCTGCTGTGTAGGCGAAGTTGATAAGACTTTAGTAAACAGGAGAAGAGAAGAGAAGGAGTTGGAGGCAGTAGGAATAGCCATCACCTTTTATGGAGTGTGATATGATTTACGTGCTTCGTACCTATAACGTGTCCTGCTGGACTGATGGTGATGCCACGGCCATGCTAGGGACTGCAAGAGGGAGAAGGTAGGCACAGAGTGTCAGGTAAGAGTACAGATTCGAACTCAGACATGATTTCTGTTGCCAATAGAAAATTCATAGAAATATTTTCAAAATTCAGTTCAAGAAGAATCTATTGAATATGTGCCGGGTATAAAATACTGTGATAGCTACTGTAGAGCAGTAATCTAGGCTTTGCTGATAGTGCATCCCATCAAGAAGTTTTGAGTATGTAACACTAACATTTGTATATTTTTTATAAGCAGTCTGCTCTGTTACTAGTATAGTATTTACATTATGAAACATACACTAAAGAAATTAAAAGTAAAATGAATAAAAGATCGAATGCCTTCGTGTTTTAGAGGATATCAAGATAGAGAGGGCACAGTCTAGTGAGCATGCAGATGGGGCGTGTTTTTATGAAGGCGTGTTAGACTTTTCTCTCTGGAGGGCAGGAGAGGGCGGCTCCAGGAAGGTGCCCGTGACAAGTGCCTTTCCTCATTCCCTCTTCCCTGTTCCAGGCCCCCCGTGAGCAGGGCCCCGCCACAGCCAGAGAAACTCCAGACAAACAATGTTGGCAAGAAAAAAAGACCCATAGAGGTGAGGAAAACTCATTCTCTAGTTCATTCTGTTTCCTTTTTGTAAAATACCCAAATCTTAGTTTTAATGAAAATAAACATATTGAATAATCATTTTTGTTTGGTTGTAAAAATTGATTACTTAAATGTCAAGTCTGAGCTTTAGATTGACATCCTCTGTCTCTCCCAGGCATTTCATAATCCCAGTATCAGCAGCAGCAAGCAAACTGTGCTACATTGGGTCAAAAATAAGGTGTCAAAACTGTGGGAGGGCGATTGTTGTCCTCCCTGCCCCACTCGGCCTCAGGTCAATGAGAGCATGAGTGGTCAGGGAGGGTGCACTGCCCTTGTGTACCCATGTCGCTGTACTGCTCCCGTCCTCAAAAGTGCACCCCTGGGACCTAATTCCTACTGAGTTATAATAGTCAAAATAGCTATTATCTTGACTAACAGATATTTTGACTAATGAACACAAATCGCAATATTCTTCTTTTAGACAGAAGTATCTCAATGTTTAACCCATAAAATCTTTAAGAACCGAAATTCTTGGAATCAGATGACCTTGTGCTTTCCTTTTCATTTTTACAACTTGATGTGGAAAAGATAGAATGTGTGTTTTAGCTGTCCAAAGCAGGTTACATAAAGAAGTATGTCTAGTTTAATTTTGTGTTTGCAGTTTGTAAAACATCAGAAATGCATCCTTTATTTTGTCTGAAGATACCAATACTGTATACAATTTTTTAAAATGGTGAATATTTAGACATGAGGAATCATATGGTTTTATCATTGTTATAGGATCTCATGTTGGAGCTTGTTTTTGGCTATCGAGGCAGAGACTGTAGGAATAATGTTCACTATTTAAATGATGGTGATGATATAATTTATCATACTGCATCCATTGGAATTCTGCACAATGTTGCTACAGGTAGGAAACCCTGATCCTCGTCCCTATTTTTCTTAAATTTAGGATTTTTTAATTTAGCATCTTAAATTCTTTGTTAAAACTATAAATAATAAAATGCATGAGCCCAGAATATACTTCATACTGTAGAACTTCCTACTAATATTTCAAGTAACCAAATTTACAGTCTTACTAGAGTATAGGAGTGTAGAACTTCCTACTAATATTTCAAGTAACCAAATTTATAGTCTTACTAGAGTATAGGAGCAGAAAAGGGTTTCATAATGCCAAGTGCTCATAGGTCTCTGAGCGAAGGTTTACTGTATGTTGAAACCATTGTAACTTTATTCTATTGATGATTTGGATGGTTGTCTCTCATAGTGATTGAAAGTAGCATGCTGGGTGAGCTGATTGCTGGGGGTGAGGATGAGGTGGATGGTGTTCATACTGAGGCTTTGGAAAGCCAATCGATATTTAAGTTTCATTGGTGTATTTCTCTCTCCCCCTCTCCCTTCCTTTCTCTTTCTCTTTCTCTCTCGCTCTCTCTCTCTCTCTCTCTCTCTCATAAATTAAATAAGTAAAATTCTTCAGTACCTCCCCGCTGATTATAGAATATGAAATTTATTAGAATGGTATTCAAATTCCTCTGTGATTCTAGTTCCAATTTGCCTTTCAATCATATTTCTCACTTTTCTTTTTTATGACCCCACACTTCAGCCAAGTGAACCCCTTGTGTGCTTACCCAATACTTTCCTGCCTTTGTACCTCTGCTTCAAATATTCTTCTACCTGGAATGCCCTTCCCACCCACCTTCACATTTACCGAGTCTGCCGGGTCAGTCCAGCAGTGCCACATGCCAGGATCAGAAGACTTATCTGCTGTGAATCCCCACAGCGTTTGATCTTTGACTCTGTGGCACTTGTGTCTTCAGCCTGTATCACGTCGGTTTATGCCTTTTCAGGGCTCTATCCCTTTAAACTTTAAAGTTTAAAGGTTTCTGGGTCATTTTTCCATCTTCATGATGATGTGCACATATTAAGTGCTCAAAAATATGTGTTAGAGAAGCAAGTAAGTTAAACAGAGCAGTTTATTGCTGTGGATAATAGCATTTAGTGCGTTTGGCTGTTATACTTTAAAGTTTTAAAATTTAATTCTCAAATTATTTTTTTGTAGGAACTCAGAGTTTTTATCAGGAACATAATGATGATATTCTGTGCCTCACTGTAAATCAGCATCCCAAATTCATCAACATAGTAGCAACTGGCCAAGTAGGTATGTTTGTGTATTTTAAAAGAAACAATTTTAAATGATTTGGTATCCTAAGGAAAAAATTAAAATATATTGTTTATTTTTCAAAAATTATTTGCACATAAAGCACACACCCAGTTTGACCATATTATTTATTTCCGGGTATCTTTCTTTCACTTCAGTTATCTGAGTTGATTCAAACAGTTCAAAATTAAGAATAAGCTATTTTATGTTGATTGAAATAGTTGGATTTAGTCCTTTAGCAGAAATTTCAGATCAGCAAAAAAGTTTAATTTAATAGCATGTAGAGCAGAAAGGAAGAATTTGAGGAAGACATGGTAACTAAGGGGAGCCAGGACATAACTAGGCTGAGGGGGCAGAGCCTCTGCTACAGCAGGGTTATTAGCTGGAAAGAAGAGAAGCCACATTTGCTCTGTGCTAGCAAATCCCACTGCCTTTCTCTCTCCTTGGAATTGATCTAATTTGCCAGCTGTTTCTAAATCATCACCTCTACTGCTGTGTTTAGATCGGTGGAACAAAGGCCATAACCCTACCAGCAAAATGAGAGGACAGCAGGTCTAGTTAGGACATACCTACCAATCAATCCGTCATCAGTATGAATTCTGCATAATAGATTATGTCAGTCACATCTTCACAACCTGGTATAGTTTTTAGAAATGATGGAACCCTGGGTTTGTTGGGCCTCAGTTGCTAAGCCAGCTTTCCAGGTGTTCCAGGTGTCTTTCTTCCTAAGATGATTTATGCCTTTAATATCTTCATTTTCATACAGGCACTAAATCGATCAGTTAAATACTTATTTTCTGGGTTGCTTAGTTCTACAGTGATACCACAAAGACCCTTGTATTCTTTCTATCTGTAAAATTTTCTACTTTTGAAAAGGAAGTAAACCAATATTTCACCTGTTATATACAAACTATTCTAATCTTTGAATATAAATACATAGGTCTAACCCCTTTTTTCGGTTAAGTGTTTTGAAACTGAATTTTGTTTTTACTCTGCCTGAGGAATGCGAGGCCATGTTATTGCCATTTTGGTCACTAAAGAACCTAGTTCAGTGCCTCTTGGCATATATTTTACTTTTTTATTGCTCAGTTAATTTTGATTGAGTGGATTTATTTCTTCAAGTTTATTGAGCACATATCATGTTCAAGGTATTGTTCTAGGTTCTGGATATACAAGAAGCTTATAAAAGAAAAACAAACCCCAAATCTCTATCTTAATGGAATTTACATTCTGTGAATAAAATTCTGGAAGGCATGTTTCTTCCATTTTCCACCGTTGCTCCTTCTCCTTTTCTTTCCTCTTCTCTCCCTCTGTTAAGCAACTTTAATATATTAGTGTTATAGTTTTCTCTTTTGATTAAGAAATGTGATCACAAGTTAATCTTTCACGAAATTTGACTCGTCCACTTCTTATCCTTTTTTAAAAGTTGACATATTACACTGTTAGTTTCAGATATACACCATAATGACTGGACATTTGTACTTTTTAAAAGGCAACACTATATATAGGGAATGTGGAATGACTACTTACCGCCTCCCCGCTCCTGCTAAGTCCAGGCAGTGCAGAGTAGCCTGAGCCTTGCCCCCACCTTTTGATTAAGAAATGTGATCACAAGTTAATCTTTCACAAAATTTGACTCGTCCACTTCTTATCCTTTTTTAAAAATTGACATATCACACTGTTAGTTTCAGATATACACCACAATGACTGGACATTTGTACTTTTTAAAAGGCAACACTATAGGGAATGTGGAATGACTAGTTACCGCCTTCCCTCTCCTTCTATGTCCAGGCAGTGCAGCGTAGCCTGAGCCTTGCCCCCACTTGTACCCTCCCACAAAACCCATAACAGAAGTTCTTTACTGGTGACTAGTTAAGTGTAAGATAGATTCCAGAGAGACCAAAGAGTGAGGGACTTTTTTTCTTCTGAACCTAAAGAGAATTGAATCAGTAGTTACTTTGCCTGCCAAGCTTTTTTTAACACCCACAAAGCACAGAACACTATAATGTTTATGGTTCTCTTTGTTGAAAATTATATAGATCATAGAAGAATTGAAATACTTTGCTTTTTTTTCTATTTTACCCCATTACATTCAAACTTTTTTTTTTCTTGACTGGAATCTTGGAATCCCAGGGACAAATAATATCATTTTATCTAGTCTATCATTAGATGTTTGAATGTCCTCTGTAACATCTCTGGTGAAGGGTCTTCCTACATATGCTTGAACCCCATCATCACTTAATGCTTAACAAAATAGTGTAACCTCTCCTTGGGAAGCTCGGTTATAAAGTGCTTCTTTATACAGAACACAAATCTGCTCTTTAATTGCAGCTCATTGGTCCTCATTCTTGAGGCACCTAGAACAGCTAATTTCTTTTATTTTTTTTAATTTTTTATTGATTTCAGAGAGGAAGGGAGAGAGAGATAGAAACATCAATGATGAGAGAGAATCATTGATTGGCTGCCTCCTGCACGCCCCCTACTGGGGAACGAACCTGCAACCCAAGCACATGCCCTTGACGGGAATCGAACCTGAGACCCTTCAGTCTGCAGGCTGACACTATCCACTGAGCCAAACCAACTAGGGCTAGAACAGCTAATTTCTTACTCCCATGATGTTATCTTCCAGTATTTGGAAAGAACTGTCAATCTCCCTGAGTCTAATCTAGTCTAACCTAGCCTCTAAAAGGGCTCACTTTAGACATCCTCCAAGTACATTTCATAAGTCAGAGTAAAATGAGAGCAATGGGATTGCTTTCCATGACTATGATATCTGAAAACCCAGAATTCTCTATCAAATGGTCCTAAACCTGCTTGTGGGCCTGTGAGCCTCTTCTGCAAGTCCAAGCCCCCAGTCGTAGATTGCACAACTAGTGAGAGCCCTCCTGAGGATGCCCAAGGGGCAGCGTGCGTTGGGAGGTGGTGAAGGCCTTTGATGTTCAGGGTGGATGACTACACATGAGCTTCCATGCTCCTGTGGTAGGGGATAAAGCTGGGAGGGGAAGAGAAAGGGAGAGGCTAAGGCTGTCTCATGCTGCCCAAATTCCAACGAGTTCTAAAATCGAACCAGGTCTTCAAAGTTGTTATAGGGGGGTACTTGTCAAGATAGGAAGATAAAACACTTCACTTAATAATTTTATCTTGATTGATAACTTGAAAATATTTAGGCCTGTGATGTTTAGGTCTTTATTTGTACTCTTGTCCCAGGTCCTGCAGATATTCAGGGCCAAGCCCGACGTCCAAACAGAGTGCCCGGGTTCCTCAGCCATGCTTCCTGTGGCGCCGTGTCAGTCCTCTCCCCATTTGGTTGTCCTCAGAGCAGTTCACAACTAACAGTGTGTTTCCTATGCGTCTGCTCAGCAGTCAGCTACGATATTCTCTTTTCTCTCACATTCCATGTCAGCACACCCTGGGCCTTCATTATCCATACGTCCTTGAAATCATTATTTCCCAAAGCCATCATCTGCCTTGAAAGGATTTCTAAATTTTTATTTCCAAACAGAGTGCCCGGGTTCCTCAGCCATGCTTCCTGTGGTGCCGTGTCAGTCCTCCCCCCATTTGGTTGTCGTCAGAGCAGTTCACACAACTAGCAGTGTGTTTCCTATGCATCTGCTCAGCAGTTAGCTACGATATTCTCTTTTCTCTCACATACCATGTCAGCACACCCTGGGCCTTCATTATCCATACGTCCTTGAAATCATTATTTCCCAAAGCCATCATCTGCCTTGAAAGGATTTCTAAATTTTTTTTCCTTTATTGCTAAAAACTGCCGCTTCTAAAATTTTGGTTAATAGGTATTTCTACCACAAACATAATGAGCCCAGGCTTTCATGTTTTCTGTATTGGTAACCTTTTACTCATACAGAAAATATTTAGTTTAAAAAAAAAAAAGCATGGTTAATTTATGGCCTTGAATTATATGGTAACTTTTGCCATCATTTCTCTCAGGTTTAGAACTAATTCTCCCCTTCAAGTAGAGATGCATTCTAACCTTAAAGGGTCTATTAACAGTTCATTTTGTAAAACAAAATGAGGATCATATCAACTTAAATCATATTATTATTTTTAAAGTTGTTTGCATTTTATTTAACTTATCAAATACAAAGAAAATAAAGTATTAATCCAAAGTTTGAAAGGTCATATATATAGAATGTTAATATGTATGTATAATTTAAATTATTAGCTTCATTTACAGTTTACTCAGTTTCACATAAAATTAATTTTGTATGACACTTGATTACTTAAATTATATAAAATCACTATTTTATAATTGAGTTTTTCAAATTTTACTTTTAGTATTTATGTTATTAATGGATAATTATTTTTCTGCTCCTTTTCCATTTTAGGTGATTCAGCAGACATGTCACGTAAGGAAAATTAATCATTTTTTTTTGTTTTAGTTATATTGTTTAGTAATGATAGTCCATATTTTCATAGAGTAATGAGATACTTGAACCTATTTTGGATGTTTTAAAAATGAAGAATACATCCTCTTAATGTCATAATATTGAGCC